GGTTTTTGGAGTTTTTAAAGTAAGGCACAAGTGAACTTAATTGTGCTTACGCTAACTGCAAACATCAACCTGAAGTTTGAACTTTTCATTTCAGAGCGTCTTTCTGCCTCAAGGTTATCCAGAGAGTGTGAGTGATGATTATCTGCAGTACCAGTTCTGGGATACAATGCAGGTACAGTGGGTAATACAACAGGGATAGTTACATATCTGTGACATTAAACCCCTTCAGTCACGCTCTTCCTCCTCTCTCAGGCCTTCTCCAGCTCCCTGTCAGGGACTCTCGCCACTCAGGCTTCCCTCAGAGGTGTTGGTGTTGGAAACCAGGAGGCCACCGTAGCTGCAGCCACTGTTACCTGGTTATTAAAAGGTGGAAAAATACTGTACATTTACATTAACCCTGCACAGCTCGTGCTGACCTCACTGGTGTTTCGATAACAAACAAATGTGTCTCCCTGCAGATGGGACTGGCATGTTGGGAAGAATCCTCTTCGCCTGGCAGAAAGGGTAAGGCTTATATGAGAAGATCTAACCCAGTGTGCAAAAGCAAATACTTTAGATTCTACAACTGTGGCCACTGATGATAAATTTTTTTAAAGTGCATAAAATTCAGTGCTTTAAGGAAATTTAAGGAAGTGATTCTATCAGTATTTCCTTCAATGCCATTTGCCAGTCTTTTCTCATATATATATATATATATATATATATATACACACACAACACTGGCTTTTAGAATTGGCTTTTGTTCTGATAGAAATTATGTTCAAAGTAAGTTTCTTCGTCTTTTTCCAGGAGTAAGCTGGACTCTGAAGCAAAAAAATGGAGGTATGTGATAAATGTGTAAGACAAGTCATTCCAGTCACCACAGGAAACCCATTTGAGTTTTGTTTGTTTTTTAATTCCCAATTAGACTTTTTGCTGATGTGCTCAATGACATTGCCATGTTCATGGAAATACTGGCTCCTTACTTTCCTGCTTGCTTCACCTTCATTGTGTGCACTGCAGGGATATTCAAGGTAACAAACAAACAAACAAAAAACAGGTTAATTCTGTTCAAAATTATTTAATGTACACCACAATTTAAAAGGCTATTCCCATTGCTAAATAGGTGATATAAAAATGAAATTCCTGTCTAGTTGACCAAGGACAGCCCAGGTGCAAGGATGCAGAAAAAGTATAAAACGTTACGTTGCGTTATCTTGCATGTCATCCATTTGTGTTTGTCTTCTCCAGTCTATTGTTGGAGTGGCAGGTGGTGCGACCAGAGCGGCTCTCACTGTTCATCAGGCCCGCAGAGACAACATGGCTGACATCTCTGCCAAAGACGGCAGTCAGGTAGCTGCCACTTCCTACTTTCATCACACTGTGTATCATCAAGCTAACCAACGTGAGCAGTTTTACACTGTTCATTGTCTACATGTTTTCAATCTTTCAAATGTACCAGGATGGAAACTTAATGTGATGGTAATTAGAAAAGGATATATTCTGTATACAATATTTTGGTGTGGCACAAGAAAGAAGCACAAAAAGCCCTTTAATGGTAGTTTTAAGTTTAAACCAGGTAAAGCACGTTTGATTAATAATAACAGCAACATTTCAGGTCCCTGCTACTGAAGCAGATACATTTTATTATGTACACAATGTTTATCTCCAGAGACACACAGTAAAAAACAGGTAATTTGTAGCAAATCTGTAAAGCCATCATAACATCATCATCTCTGTGTTTTCCTTTAGGAGACTTTAGTGAATCTGGCCGGACTGCTGGTCAGTCTGATACTCATTCCCCTCGTCACTGATAATCCAGTGTAAGCTTTGCTATATTTCAAATACTAATTATATTCTTAACGGGTCAGTTTACCCTAAAAACATGTTTTTCCTCCAGCCTGCAATGCTGTTTATGATTGTTTTGATGTGAGGTTCTAGTTTTGGAGAAAAACTTTTTTTTTTCTTGGCACTTTGAGCCTTCAAGGTGATTGTGGTACAGTTTTATTATATTATAAGACAAAGTGGACATTTCCTTAGCTGGTACTTCCAAACCCAGACAAAATGATCTAGAAGGATCGAGTCAAGTAAATTTGACTTAAACGACTGCACAGCAAGTAAAGTTATCAAAGGAAAAAAAAATAAAGAAGAAGAAGAACAAAAAAAATGATAATCAAAGTATAGGATAATAAAAAAAATAGTAATAGTAAATAATGAGGGTGAACTGTTGCTTTAGAGTGTTTCATGCCTCTAACATTACCCACCTCAGTCTCTTTCTCCCTTTCTGTCTTGTTTAGATTGACTCTCTGCCTCTTCTTCCTCTTCACCGTGCTTCATCTTTTTGCCAACTACAAGGCTGTGCGTTCAGTTGTCATGGAAACCTTCAACGAAGCACGGCTTTCTATCGTACTGCAGCAGTACCTGAAGGACAAACAAATCCTGAGTCCACCAGAGGCCAATCAGAGAGAACCAGTTTTCTTTGGTAAGAATTAAGTTTTTTGTGCTATCACACTGGCAGGATAGAGTCCTGTGTCGAGTCATTGTAAATCTTATTAAGTTGTCTTCTGTTTTGCTTTTGATTTTGTTTTAGAGTTTGGGCAAACTGTGCCGATAAAGCTTGGAGTGAGGCTGCAGGAGATTGCACAGAGGTGATTTCAAAACTTGGTTTGCACGCATTTAAATGTTGCAGTAGCAATGAAAATATGCAGGGGAAGAGTGAGACAAGGAGGAAAAATCCAGAACAGGGAAGTGTTTATTAAATAGTTAAAGTCAGACACTGAAAAGCTGCTTTTACCACCCAAAGAAAAAAGAAATAAAAAACACGACAAAACCCAAATGTTGGTCACTTCAGATGACAGAGCTAAGTCGAGATTTTAGATCTGAAAATTATCTTATTTCTGAGATACTATCCTGAAAGTTTTTACTTATGGACACCAAAAAAAAATTAATTTCAGTGGTAGAAACAAGACACAGTAGTCAGCCAAACCCTCTCTAAACGTTCATTTCTCAAATTACATGTTTTCGATTCTCTTCCTTGCGTCTTAGTTCGTCACACCAATGCAAGTGGAGGAAGCAAAGAAGAAGAAGGCTTTTCTCATTTCATGTGCCTCCTTGTCTCTTCTGTCCACCTTCCTCTGACCCCCAAATCAGTCTGTCTTAAATCACACACAGAAACCGTGACGGGCAGAAAGTTTGATGATCTTAAATAACTGAAACAGTTTATGGATAAAAACGATGAGCTGTTTAAAGATTCCTCCTCCTGCCACAGTTTGTGTATTCCAGCTGTGAGCCACTGGTCTGTTATATGTTGAAGTTAAAAACACTTCGGAAACATGTCATAAAACTAAAAGGAATTTCATTATCGTTCTGCTCATTTTGCAGCCCAGAAGATCTTGAGTTGGCTTTGAAGGAAAACAGCATGCCTTACCTGTTAGGAGTCAGAAATGGTATGCTGTCTTCCACCCATGCAAAGAAAAGCAGCATGTTTACATACTTGGAAAGTTATTTTTAAACCTCCTGTCTTTCTCGCAGGCTGTGTATGTGTTTGTTTGGGACCAGAAGCTTCAGTGAGTGACGAAATCAGAGCGATGTGCCAGGCGGTAGTACTCGGCAACATGCTGAGCTCGTCAAACTCCAGAGAAGCTACAGGGGCTGCACCGAAACAGCAAAGTGAGCCTCTACCTCTTTCCATGTTTAACTGTTTAAATGTGAAGAACTGTAAAACTTCCTCTTTTCTTTTTAGAAGGTCACTGGGAAATGGTGCACAAGAGTCACAAGCTGATGGATGCCATTTTCAATCCATTACTTAAGGGTGAGCACATGCAAAACTGCTTTAACTTACCAATCATCCTCTCTGATTCCTTTAGTGGAAGCATGATTCTGGAAATGTAACCTTCAGGTGCTGAAGCTGCAGGATGGGACATGAAACGAACCCTGATCGACTGGGATGAGTGGAGAGTCGAGTGGAAAACAAAAAGCAGCTGAGAAGCTTTAAATAAACAAAGGTGTTTTTAAGTATGCCTGATTTGATTCATTTAGCTGCCCCAACTCTCCAGAGAAAAATAGTTTATATGTTTACAAGAATAATATTTTATTTATTTTTATATTTTAAGTAATTAAAAAAAAACCCCAGCAGATCACCACGGAGAAAATGAGCTTGGAGCTTTTTTTGTGTGGGTATTTTGAAGAAAATATCAAAGTATAGATGCAAAAACAAAACGGTAGGGAAGGGGGCGGTATTAAACTGCCTTAACCAATCAAGGCACAACAAAGAAGAGGGAGCAACAACATCCGGTGCAAAGCGGATATGTCAAGTTCGAAACATCGTTGAGTAAAATTATAATTTACTACTAGTACGTAAACACAAAATAATAATAATAATAATAATAATACTTGAAGTTTTCTAACATGCCACAGGGCTATTTCTTACTTATTGTTCTTAACTTTGTTTTTTTTGTCATTTAAAAAAAAATTTAAAAAGTAGATTAAAATATAAGTGAATTTACAAAATGAGACAAAAATCACTATAAGAGTAAATGTAAACATAATAGATACATAATTCAGTCCTCTCAGTCAATTTTAGTCTTAGTGAATTGTGGCTGTGTTTTAAAGTACATATATATATTTTTTAATGCCTAAATTCAATTTATTACATTACATACAGTAAGACAAGTGATTTTATGGACATATCTTTCTGGGGAAACCACAGTTGCTGAACGATAACACGAAATTGTAGACTTAACCCCCAAAAAGAAAAAGCTATTAGTTTAGGAGATCATTTCAAAGAAATATCACATTTATGGATCCAGCAAATTAATTTTCTGTAGTTTTCACCATATGGTTAAACATAATCTCAATATCAGGAATTTTCACAAATACCACGATTTTTGAAAAAACAAAAATCATATTAATTATCAATCCTAAATATTATTAATTTTTAATGATAAATGTAAAAAAAAGTACATATTTCTAAGGAAGAATAAATGCGACCTTTATTTTGAAATGTCCTTCCGGATGTTGAAGTGTCCAAATTGTTGTTAGCTGGAGACGTTTCTCATACAACTTTAGCGTTAGCAACAACAAAATCGGTTTTTGTGGTTCCAACTTGACCGAAATTTGACCATAAATGGGGAGATATACGTGTGCCTACAACTGCGACACCTCGAGCGATCCAGACGTAAAGTTTTTTAAGTAAGTTTTCGACAATAGCGCTGGTTTTTGGTTAAACTAAACCAACAGACAGCTAGAAGCACGTTTGTAAAGTAACAGTGGCTGACAGAACTAGGCTTGTATCAGTGTTAAGACTCAAATTTTCCACCTTTTCTCAACATTTTAAGCCCACATAATTAGATCTTTTTCTGTATACATGGGAGTGCAGTTCGGAGTGCACCTGGAAAAGTTACCGAGACGTGTACACAAGCTCACTAAGCAAAAAGAGGGCATAAACAAATAAAGTTTATCACTGTACATTTTGCTGCAGCATTATTTTTTTTTTATGCAGTTGCAATAGAGGGGTTTTATTCACACTAAATTCTAAGTCAAATTGTTTGAGAACCACTTGTGAGCTGTGTGCTGTAGGAGTGACTTAAGGGTTTAAGGTGCTGGTGGGAGTGTATCAGGGATCAGCCCTGAAGTCCTTCTTTCAGCAACAAACATCATAGTCCATAGTTCATGGACTGTGATGCAGGGAACATTGTGACCTATACTGACAGTAAGGAACAGGTGTGAAGATGTGGACTTCAGAGAGAAGAGAAATGAGAGGGATACAGGTGTGATACTGCAAGAAGTAGAGGTACTGAAGATAGATGAGTTTACATACCATCCAAAACAATAGACAGTGCATAAAAGAGGTGAAGAACAGAGTGGAGTGGGTGGAGACAAGTGTCGGGTGATTTTTATTTTATTTTATTTATTTATTTTTTGACAGGATAGCAACAAGGGTAAAGGGGAAGGTTTACAAGATGCTAGTGAGACATGTTATCATTTATGGTTTGAAAATGGTGGCACTAACAAAAAGACAGGAGGCGCAGTTTGAGATGTTAAGATTTTTATTGTAAATGAGCAGGATGGACAGGATTAGAAATGAGTATGTCAGAGGGACAGCTGAGGTTGAGTGTTGGGAGACAAAGTTAGAAAGCTGCATTTTTAGATGGTTTGGACATATGCAGAGGAGGGACAGTGGATATATTGGACAAATGATGCTTAACATGGAGCTGTGGATTTGGTAAAGGAGAACATACAGAGGGTTGCTGTGACAGAGGAGGATGCTAAGCATAGGTTGAGATTGAGGCAGATGAACTGCTGTGGCGACCCCTAAAGGCAGCAACTGAAAAAAGAAGAAGAAAAAAGACCACTTAAGATCCTCTAAATTACATCTATGAGACAAAAATACTCCAGATTAAGATCTTTAATAGTAAATTATGCTCTTATTATTATGTTTTTCTGTTGTTTAAGTTTAATTATCTAGCTTACGTTCAGTATATCACGCTGGAAATACTGAGTGTTATATTACATATCATAATTAGTTTTAACAGAGTTAGTCAACAGGTAAAATTTACTGAACTCTACACAATTTTTAGTGAGTTACTTTTCACACGGGAAAAAAATGTTTTCTGTGTGTGCATGCAGGTTTCCCCTGTACAACCCCCGAAAACTTAAAAAATGGGTACTGAACATGAAGTGGAAGGACTGGACGCCGACTCGCTTTTCTGTTCTGTGCATCAATCACTTTGAGGAGCAGTACATTGACAAAACGGGCAAAAGTGTGACACTTCGGGAAGATGCGGTTCCCACCATATTTACACCGACTGACAACACACAGAAAAAGAAGGTCTGTGTGTATCATAGATAATTGTTGGCATCATTTAGAAATAAAACATTTGTGAAATATTTAAAGCTGCATAATGAAACTCCTCCTGTTTTTCTGCTTAAACCTCAGCGGCTTTTTAAAAATAAAGGTGTTGTTACTGTCTCCTTGATACAGGCTGCCATTAACCCGAGACGTAAACGACACAAGGTGAGCTGACCCAGACAGTTAGCTTTTTATTGTTTAATGTTATTCATTTTTCTAAATGCATTACGTGTTGTTTATTTTATTGTGAAAGCAGCAACCTGGTGCTAAAAGCTCAGAGAAGGATTTGGCTGCATCTGCAACATCAGCTCTCCCTGCAACAGACGACAGTGTCCGGGCCAAAGAACCCAGCCAGACAGACCAAGAGACATCTGGGTATGTAACTACACACAAGGAGACGTTTACTGTCCTAGTCCTCTTTCCATAAATCAATAATAAGCAGTAATGCTTCAGTATGCACAGTACGGATGCCCTTCATGAGGGATTTGTGTCTCTTCCTTGGTATCTTTCACTTTTTAGGCAAATGTGTGAACAGCTACACTATGGAGCCAGTTTCTTAAATCATTAATTATACGTCTAATAAGTCAGTGTTTACAGTTTGAAGACTGCCATTAGCTTCTTGTGCATATTTGCTTGTTAATTATTAATAATACATTTATTTGTAAAGTGCATATTTACAAAGTGCTTAACCGTTTGAATAAAACCACACATTAAGGATAAGTGTACATAATTAAACATGCAGTTAGTCTTACATTCATTCCTGCATACACACATTCAAAGAACCAAGGGCCAAAAACAACAGTCAAACAATTAAGGAAAAGCGGAGTTATGAAGCGTCACTGAAAACCAACCATAAAAAATTCAGCCAACCTGATAAGCTGAGGAAGGTTTAGCAGTGGCAACCTCAAAAGCATTATTACCTCTGGTTTTAAAGTAAAGACGTAAAACAGTTAAAAGACCTTTTCAGACCCAGATGACCCTCTTCAGTCTAAGCAGATCTGCTGTATAGGTAGGAGCCAAGCCATGTAGGGCTTTATATGTTATCAATAACATTTTAAAATGAAGAAAGGTTTAATTTTTGCAGTGTTTGTTCAATAAAGGAAACAAGGCTGGATGAGCTTAGAGATCAAAATTTAGATTGTGGTAAATAATATTAGCAGCATATTCCATATTATTCTCTAAAACCAACTTCCTCCTGTTCTCATCGCTCCTTAATTCACTAAATCTGCAACTTTTTTGTTATATATTTGCTGAGCTTTTAACATTCACACATGCTCCATAATGAGGTTATGAGAAATAGTTTCTAGGTGTCACAGATTGATTCAGTTATATTCCACTGTATATTTATAGTGACCGTGTAGTTTGGGGAAAGAAAGCCATATTGCTGACCAACTTGTAGTCTCGAGTTTAGTTTTAGTGCACTTCTTATCGTTCACACAGGTGTACTTAAAAGTGCTGCCTTGTAGTCATAAGCTACACATTCAAATATGCACATAAATTCTGAAAACAAAGCATTTTTCTTTGCGTGGTTTTGATGCTTGATATTTATTTGCTGAGAAAAATATTTGTTTTGTGCTCAGTGAGGGACATTTAAGATTTGTTAGAAGTTTTAGAAGAAAAGCAAAAGATTAAAAAGGATAAAAGGACTAAACATGTTACTTCTGACTAGTCAGTTTCTCTCAGAGGTATAAAAACAATCTGGTTTGTCAGCTGCTACCTGCTGAAAGATTGTGGCTCATAAATGTCTTTATAGAAGCAGTTAGCATTATACAAACGCCTCAGATTTTAAATTGATATATATTTAATGCAGAAGCCTAAAGACCACAGTAATCTTGCAAAAAGGTTGTTTTGGATGGTACAGTTTGCAGGTATAACACAATGTCAAACCTAAGTTGTTGTTTTTTTCTTTTAAAAGCTGATAAAAGCATTTAAGATGACATTTTCCTGCTGTACACGCATTTAAAAACAAATTTACAGTCATGGTGGTTTGCTGTATTGGTCCATTGGAGATCTGCCCACTGGTTAGGTCACTAAACCAGTTTTCAGACCTAACCAAAGGTCTCCTTGGGACTTGTTGTGTTGGCAAAGATGACTTTCTGGTCGATCACAGGTTTTCTCTTGGAAAAAGATAAAATCAAATCAAACACCAGAGAGGTTTCTTTGGTGCTTCTCCTTCATAAATTTAAAATTTTTCCTGTTCTTTTATTTATTTTGTTAATAATTTCTGTACAGATATATATTATCGTTTCCTTAATGTTTTAACTTTTTTTTTTCTGTTTTAATGATTAGAGATCCCAAAACGTCAGAGAAATGGAGGATTATAATTGATGAAGCACTGATGAAGATCGATTCATTTCCACACTTTTTTCATGGAGATTACTGTGTACCACAGGTAAATGGAATTGTATTTTATACATACTGATCACTGGGATAACTTAAGAGTTTATGTTTAGCTAATCTTATGGCATTTACGGCATATCCGATATGTTTTATCTTGTTGTTTATCTTCATTAGTGCGAGTTAATCTATGTGTGTGTTTCCACCTGCATCAACAGAGTATCCACTGGGCTCCAGATAATAATTTCAGTGTAAGTAGAATATTTTCAGTCTACTGGGGGTGTAATAATTCTCTGAAACTGGATGAACGGATGAACACTAAAACCACAAGCCTGATCACTTGATTGGATCATAAACAAAAAATAAACTTTTATTCTCATATATTTCCAGTTCACCCACTACTGGGACATTTTTAAACAGAATTCACCAGACTAGCTTTAACCAAGGGCTCCACACGGGTATCAGGACACTAAGTGTTGCGCACAATTGTGTCACAGTTTCCTGTCTCTGCTGCATTATTCTTACACCCCTTTAATCTGTAAAGGTTTGTCTTTTATATCGTGGAGCACTTAATTCACCTCCTCTTTTGTCATTTTTACAGCCTGAGCATAAAGACAATGAAAACATTATAGAGGTACGTCTGTTGTACGATTACCTGCAGGTGTTACTCCAAATCCAAACCAGGGTTTTGGGTGGTTTTGTCCTTCTGCCTGATGCATTGTCCTGACTGCAGGTGAAGGAGCCATGGGAGTGGCTTGCTCTGGATGTCCGAGGACCGCTGCCTCAAACAGTAAACGGACACAAATACATTTTGACGGTGACCGACTTCTACTCCAAATGGGTGGAAGCTGTGCCGATGACAGCGTGCCTCCCTTCAGATGTGGCAAAGAACGTCGTGGACATCATTGCGCACTTTGGATATCCACTGAGAATCCTCTCTAGACTGCCTCTTGACATAGTCCACAAAGTGAGCGCGCACACTTGATTAATCTGCCTGGACTGTTTTGCAAAACCTGATTTCATATCAACATCAAAAATGTAGTTGAAGTCTAGAAACTTGCATTTTTTTAAAGTGGCTTATAAATCTGACTTGGAATTAGTGCCTGAAAACCAAACCCAAGGCAGTTAAACCCATGTGTAGTTATTATAGTGACATGCTTTTAATTTAGAAGAGCATATTTAACCTTCACAAGACCAACTCGGCAATCATATAATGCATAAAGAGAAGCTAATATACTCCTCCTTATTTTCTTTCACACATATACTGTTGTGGTTTGTTCCAAATGGGTAACAGTTTTGTCTTGTGGTACTTGCATGAATACAGTTGTTTTTTTTAGAGTTCCAGTATAAAAATATGGTGCTGAGAATGAAACTTTATCTATTCTGTGAGATGTCATGATAATTAAATGCTAATGAAATAATATTGGTTTTATTTTTGTTAAATTAAACATATACTCTGAATTGTCCAGTATAACATGTTATACTGGAAATGAGTTACCACCAGCTGAAAAAGCCCTTTGTGTCTTCCAGCTCATAATATAATGCATGATACTTTTTTTTGTTATAAACTAATGTTATAGTGTGTCCTCATTGTCCAGTTTCACACAACTGTATACTGTGTGAATGTCTTCCCGATGACAGATCAACCGAGAACTGAAAGATCAGCTGAAGGTTGCTGTTGCTCTTGTGGTCTATCATCAGCAGACGGGCATCGCAGATATGATCACACCACAGCTGATAGACAGGTCTGTAAAAAGCCAGGGTGTGCTAATATTTGTTTTTTGTAACATTTTATAGTCTAGTTATGCCTTCATACCTGTAGTCTTGTTTCCTTTTGTCCTTTTCCAGATTCTATTAATTTTACCAAAATACATTTTGTCATTTGGATGACCTACAAAGTTCATTCTCTTGTTGTTGCAGGTGAAAACTTGTAGCTTTTAACACAGGATTAAAACACTTAGGTTATTAATAATATCACGAATGTTAAAGTCTCTGAAGTTTTCTGTTACCATATTGGTTTTGCAGTGAATAGTTTTAGATGCATTCGTGCTTTTAGGGCAGTTATAACTGTGCATGCACCAATAAATCAGGCAAACCTCAGTATCTGTTTGTTAAGTGGTGATGTAACAGGATTATTCATAGTGAGTCATTCAAACCACACAGGAACATGTTTTAATGCATTGTGTTGTTGATGGATCATCTCTGAAATATAGTCCGTTTTCATCATCTTCTTCCTACCAGATGATAGTGGGAGACCCTCAACGTGAACTTTTATTGAGAATAGTTTTATCCAGATCTGTGCTAATAGAATTTTGTCAACTTCAGATGGAAATTAGCTCTTCTTTACTTTTGGATGTCTGGACATGAAACTTTATTGAAACAGCGGTAACGCTCATGTTATTGGAGCTGAAAGAGTCTGGACAATTTTGAACTCTCTGTGGATTCTCAGTACTTGTTTTGTTGGGAGCTAAAGGAATATTTGAACAACAATTTTCTGCTGATGATGTAGTTGTCTTTTATAATAGTATTTATGTTTTTTTCTCAATGAGATAAAAGGGAATAAATAACACCAAAAATATAAAATATCTGGCACCTATGGACCAAACTGTTATTACAAACAATCGGCGCATAATACCTGGATGTTCTGTCATCATAGTAACATCTCAGTGCTGTAATGTTCCTAATCAAACAGGATGGTGAACGATCTAATAGAGGAGCATGCAGCTGACTGGGATGTTTACCTGCCTGCCAAAGTGTTCAGTCTGTGCTTCAAAGAGCATTCAGAGACCGAGGAGAGGCCTTTCTCAGTGCTCTGCTGTAAGGGAATAGAGCCTGTTCAATTCCCCAGAGAACTGGATGTAAGTGTAGGTTTTAAAATTTGAGTTCTAATAAATCTTTAATAAATCTTACAGGTAAAGTAAAATGACTTTCTGTGTAATCCATTTTTTCACAGTTTCCACTTTCCAAGATCCGAGAGAGTGCCTTTGTGGTTAGATAGAAGTTTATTCGGTGAGTTTTATGTGGAGTTGTGCACCACACTGTAATATAATATTCTGTATTTTACTGTTGTTTGGAACTGTGTGAAGCATATGGGGCATTTGTGGAATATATCACTGGGATTAGGTAATCTATAGCAATTATTCAGGTTTATATTTTCTCTCGGTTAGATTATTGAGGTGTTCTTTTAACAAGCATCAGAAATCAGTTGAACGACTTCAAATCCAGCAGTGAGACGTCTTAAAATATTATGCCAGTTTTAGTGACACTACACTGTGTTGTTTTAAACTGACTTAGCAGTGATGTTCAACTTGTCTCAGTTTTATTTTCAGGTCACTTTAATTGGAAACAAACTGGAGCTGCTTTAGCAGCAAACCAGGGAAGAAGAACGTGTTCAGTCCTGGAGGTATTCGTTCTGGTGGAAACCCTGATGAATGGACCGGGATGTTCTAGTACTGAGTTCTGTGGAGAGGATTTGTTGATGAAGCTGTGCATTTCGACAGCATTTTCCACTTTGTCTGCGATACACTGAGATGCTCCACCTATTTTTCATTCGCAAGTATTTTTGGATGTAGTATTTTAATTCAGTTTTTTGCTGTAGCACTGCAGCAAAATGTCTTGCTTAAAATATGTAGCAGCATGTCTGCAGTGTTGAGACTGGAACAAGCTAAATGTAGGTTAGGAAGGCGAGACAGTTTTCTGAGCCATAGGAGACTGATCAGTATAGCATTATTATTTTTATGACTTCAAGCAGTTCAGCCACCTCCACTGGTAAGGTTTAGGCTGCTGATCGTTGATGTTTTCTGTTTGTAAAAAGGTAAAAGATGCCAATAAACTTTATTTAAATATCATTTTTAATCACTAGTGAATAGTTTTTGTTTATTGACTATCCATGTTATTCTTATCCAATCTGGGGGTTCTTGAGGCCAACTCAGCTACCTTAAGGTGAGAGAGGGGTACACCCTGGTTGCCAGCCTATCGCATGATAACACAGAGAGACGGACAACCATTCATACTTACAATCTCACCTACAGCCAATTTAGACTCGCCAGTTACCCGATGCATGTCTTCAGACTGTTGGAGTAAGAGGACCCAGACTGGAAAAAAAACAGTAAAACTTTTTTTTTTTTAACAATAATTTCACAAACAGCTGATTTACAAGTTTTCCAAGAATCAGTTGACGAGCCTACAACTCACTTCTGCTATTCTTATTTTACAGTAAAGAGAAGTGTGTGTTTTTCTGTCGCACTGTTTTTAGACACTGCTGACTCCTGAGGGTCAAGACAGAAAACCAAACCTCAGCTGTTGTCAGGTCAGTCATCCCACTCATCTCTGAGGGAAGGAAGGCGTGATGAAACAGTTTAAAAGGTGTCGATGTTACAAAACTTTACTTGTGTTGAATCCAAAAGGAGGAAGCTTCTTGCGAGATCAGAAAAAATCTGAAAAGAAATTAAGATTTCCTTGACCTACCCCAGATCTCAACAAAATAGATGAGTTCATTTATAAATATCCAGAATAAATATAAATATTTTATAGATAAACACACACACAATCTTTGCACTTATAAAATTAATTTTGTATTTGAACACTATTCCCATCTGCTAAAAACAGTATTTTTAATTCTAGTGACTGCTAAAACTATCAGCTGTAAAATCATCTACTAATCTGTCTGCTAACCATCGATGGCAGGGGTATCAAACTCAAGGCCCAGGGACCAAAATCTGGCCAGCAATGACTCCAACCTGGCCCACAGGTTAGCTTTGAACAATATTCAAGCAGGCCACTCATTTTAAGCTTTTAACCGTGCTTTTATAAGATTTACAACTTTTCATGCTGATAAGGACCTCACCCATTCATACTACACCAAAGTAATTAAGTAACAGATAAACCGTTAAATGGCAGAGTTCCTGTTTCGCCCCACTTACTATGGAAATTTCTGATTTTTTGTGAATTAACAAAAGCATTGTTTTATTTTAAATTTTAATTTTCCACATTTATTTAAGCCCAGAGTTTCAGTATTCATGCTCACGTGTTGACTTTTGCAAAACAAAACGTCTCAGTATGTGGGGAAAAAACGTGGTGCAATCCTTTATAAAACGGGAGCTCCGATTAACTCTGATAATTTAAGCAGTTATGAAGAGAAATAAGACATTCAGACAGATATTCTCCTGTTGCATTAGTTTGTGCATGCACAGAGTGACGGCGCTGTGCGCGCTGCCCTCAGCTGGTGGATGGTGGAGTTAAAGCGGTGGCTGTCTGATGCTGCTCTGAGCTCATAGTTGTCGTTGTGCAGTGCAGTTTTTCTCCCCACTGTGTGCAGCCAACCGCAAGAAATGGTGAGTGAGGAAAACACATACAGAATATAGTGGCCTGTTGACTACGAAAAACCGACTTTAGGTCAGCCGGCAAACCCTCCCCAGAGCGGTAAAATGCCTGATTTGAGCAGCTAAGCTGGTCACAAAGCAATCACTCAGACGAATGTCTTTGTTTAGCTAACCTTTGCTAGCATTGGCTAGCTTCTCCTGCGTTAGTCAATACAGTATCTCATGGTGGCTCGTTGCTCTATACTCTTCAAGTTGATAGCAAGTTAAGCACAGTGGGGTCCGATCAATGTGAACGAACTGACTGTTGTTCGAGATAAATCATCCAAATTTTTGTGGCTCAAATAGCCATCTAGCCGCACAAAAGCTAACTGGCTAAAGTTATCAGCTAACGCTGCCATGTATGTAACTTAGATAAAAAATGGTTGTTTAGCGTGAGCGGGGCTTGTTTTAAAAGTTAGAGGAGTTGAAACACAAACTGTCAACTTTATAGTTCAAGTCTGTGAAAACAGTTGATCGAGGAAGCCGCTACAGCTGGCGTTAACAGATGGCTGAAGCTTTGGTTAAAACTGCCTTAGCTAAGCTATGTGTCACTGCGGCTATTTAAAACGTGAGGTGTAGAGAAGTGACTTGGCTTACTCATAAAGTTACCAAAGTGTTCCCACACAGAATAACCTGGTTAAGCAGAGACTGTTTCAGTTTATAAACGCCCATCTACCGTCTGTTTGTTTTGCTCAAACTTTAACCAGCTTTTTCTCACGTGATAAATCTATCTGGTGATGGCACTGGACACGTTCTGTAGGCTCAACAGAGATGAGCAGTATCTGATATAAATGCTCAGAAAACAGAATTGAGCTTAATTCAGTAAGACAGGACGTGTGTTTCTGAGAATCAGGGTTACAGTGTGTATCACTATCATCACTATCTGATTTTCTCCTGTCACTTCATCTCACTCCAGGATGTGTTTCTAATGATCCGACGTCACAAGACGACCATCTTCACAGATGCCAAAGAGTCAACCACAGTCTACGAACTGAAGCGCATCGTGGAGGGCATTTTAAAGAGGCCACCTGAAGATCAGAGGCTTTATAAGGTGAAATAAATTACCTGGAAACCTTGTTAATAGTATTTTTTTAACCTTACAATTTTATACTCTAAGCAATGTCTCAAAAAAAGATTGTTAATCAAAATAATAGCTGGAGCTCTAATACCTGTCCTTTATTCACTTGACAAAGCTGTTCTCACAAAACGTGAATCAAAGTTTTCTTTTGTCACTTGAAGTCTCCCCTGAATGTTTAGCCCTAGCAGTCAGCGGACAGGAGCAAACTTATCATTTATAACTAAAATCAAGTGACAGTAACATATTTTCAGAAATTAGAAGGAAGTCCTACATTTCCTCAAGCCCCCCCCCCCTTTCCCCTCTCAATGTAAAAGTGAAGTTGAGTCAATGTCAATTACAAAAAGCTTGTCCTCCATTTCAGTTTGTCAGGAAAGTCTAATCTTTCATTAAAAAAAAAAAAAAAAAAATCAAAGTTTTTACAAAGTTTAAATATTTTTACTTTGGTTCAGGTTCTATCTGAACACATCATTGGGCTTCCTTTTTTTCC